CAAGCTGATGAAGAAGAACATTGTGTTAAACACCAAGTAGCAACAATCTCAGGGGTCACTTCTGTGGGATTTAATCACCGTCTCATTTTAAAGCTGCGGTTTGTGACATTTATAGGAAAATATGTGTTTTTTAAATATATTCTCAAAGCTGTCACTATGTGGTGAAAGTATATTTTTAAGACAGATAATCTGTGGGAGGAAAAAAAATTAAGCTCCTCTGCTTCCTCCATGTGCTCCTACTGCCATCTGCAGTAATACATCGCTCAGTCAGAAACGACCAACCAGAGCCAGGAGGAGGGTCTTAGCGCCGCCAATCACACCTGTGTACGCATATTTTTTCCCACAGATTGTCTGTCTCATATTATACTATCACGTCATAGTGACAATTTTTAAAAATATTTAAAAAAAAAAAAAAAAAAAAAAAAACTTGAGCCATAAAGGAAGGACTCCTCAGTTTTTTTAAAAGTTGCTTAACTTCAATATTAGTAAGGCAACAAAAACTGTTTGGCATTTCCTTTTTAAAATGTTCAAGTTGGAAAAGAAGTTGACGAGTCATAAAAATATTTTTCTCATGTTAATAATAATAATAATAATAATAATAATAATAATAATAATAATAATAATAACCCTTAGATTGAAGCAGATCTGAGGGCTATGTTCATTACAACACGTTTACATTTCCATCAGAATAAAACATGATTATGATGCTCTTTAAAGGTCATTTCACCTAATCACAACAGAGAGGAGAGCTCATTAAGCCACTATATACTTTATATCACCTACACACAGAGCAGAGCTGCCACTGGATGAAAAATTGAAAGAAAAATGCACACGCAGTGATTTTCAAGGTCAGACTTAGACGTTAAGCTGAGCCTCGTTGAGCCGATTTAGGTCCTGACCCGATGAAAGCTGTTTCATACTGCAGTTACGTTAATGCAGGGTGCTGGGTTGATTTTTTTTTTCCCTTTTAAATTTTTACTACATTTATTTTAGACATTTATAAATTGCCTGTTGAGAATTGACGAATGTGCAAAGTTTCACACGTCCTCCTTTTCTTTTTATTTCAATTTGTTTCTAGGAAAACTGTAAACAGGAGCAGCAACTAAACAAATGCATGATAACAATGAGCTAACAATACAATGGTTTGTTGTGTATTTGTTTTAAATTAAGTCAGGCTTTGACACTCCCGGTCAGTGTTTTCGTTCCGAGATTTTACCGAAGAAAAATTTATTTAAACAATGAGAACAAAATTAATAAAGATGAAAGTATTGGCTCTGAGTTTGTCCTTGTGGTTATCTGTATGAAATGTATCTCGTCATAAATTTGCATAAATTCACCTTGGACACAGATGTTAAGATTAATTGTGCTCTTTTTAATGCAATTACATATGATGAAATTAGAGCTACAACAATTACATGATTTTAAAAAATACCGAATCGTGGTCTAAACAAGAGGCATTCTCAATGAGCTTCTCATGAATAAGGAAAAAGCCGAGCCTATGCAGTTTCTTCGGGGACGAAAGAATGGCTCAACACAATACTTTCTCCCTGAGTTAATATAGGAGGCAAACAAAACACCAGATGTTTCACTGCTTTCGGCTCTTTATTTGGCACTTTGAAAGAGCTCAGCGGCTCATTTGCTGTCAGCAGCCACTCAAGAAACTTTAGTCTGAGAAACAAACAGCTGAAAAACAATCTCTTAACTCCAGACCTTTTCAAAACGCCATGTGGGGGTGAATTTTTCCACTAATAAATTATTACTGAGTGGGTAATGAACTATAGATTTCTACCTCCACTGGTTTTTCTTTTTTCTTCTTCTTCTTTAAAGTTCACAACAACATTACTTTGTGTGCATTGAGGATGACTACATCACCGTAGTTACAGCTGGCACAAAGAAGCAAAACGGTGGATAAAAAGCTTGTGATGTTTTTGAAGCATCCAAGTTATGTTCCAGTTGCAAAAGAGTGAAATTTTACAAGTTTAGAGTTTGATCCTGATCAGCGACGTTTACTGGTAGGGCTGAGATTATGAATCTACCAGCCCAGCTGATATTTGTAACAGGGGGAAAAAAAATGTTTGAACTTGATAAATCATTGACCAGACCAGATGTTTTCGAAACAATTTTGCCCAAATAATCGTGGATGGTTATCATAGTTTGAGCTGGTCCTGTTTACAAACCAATTCTGTGTTTTTCTTTTTTTTTTTTTTTCAGTCCCCAACTTTTCCTGAAATCCATGCAGTGTTCTCATACACACAACTAAAAGGTTTGGCTGCATCTATGCAGGTTACACACACACACACACCGGGTTCTCCGGTTTCCTCCCACAGTCCAAAAACATGACTGTCAGGTTAATTGGCCTCTCTAAATTGCCCCTAGGTGTGAGTGTGTGTATGCATGGTTGTGTCTCTGTGTTGCCCTGCGACAGACTGGCGACCTGTCCAGGGTGACCCTGCCTCTCGCCCAGAACGTTAGCTGGAGATAGGCACCAGCAACCCTCCCGACCCCACTAAGGGACAAGGGTGTAAAGAAGATGGATGGATGGATGGACTTCATGTGTAGTGCCTGATTGTTTGAAAAGAAAAATTGTGCTGGCAACTTTAACCTTCAGAGTTCAGATCTTGAAATCCTTTCTCACGATTTACTTTAGGAACGGGCCTTAAAGCTTCCAGGAGGACGTCTACAGCCCTCCTCTAGGTTTCGGCTGTCCCTGCTCTGCATCAAGATGGTCCTGTGTTGCTGCAGTGACGTGATCTGCGAGGCTGCAGGTGAGTTGTGGACTTTTTGCTTGTTTCATATTCTGGTCTGGATAAGCTTTTACTCTGATGACAGCGTATCTAAGACCGACAAGCAGGAAAAATTAAGACCTCGTCAATCAGCCAGTTTCCAGATGGCGGAGCGGATGAAAATCTGATGGCTCTTCCCTGCCTTTACATTTTCATCAATTTTGCAGCTCCCTTCGGTGTTGCACAGTCGAGCAGCTCACAGCTCACTGGTCTATCTCTCTTGTACTTCACAGTGCAAGGACAGAGAGAAAGGGACAGCTGTACCCTAATGTTTTACATCCGGACACAAATTCAGATTTTTGGTCCAGTTTTCTGTCTGATGTGATAAACTCCAGATTCTCCAGTCACTTCCTAAATGGTATCTTTCAGTCTGACCTTTTCTTTCCTCTATTTCTAACAAGGATTATCCTGCTATTTTCTCATTTACTTCATCTCACATTTTAATAAATAAAGTTACTATAGGTGCTTGTCAAACTTGAAATCTGAGGCATTTCTCACAGACTGAGCCAAGCAAATTAGATGGATCTTTCTGACAGGACGCCATCAGCTAAATGCTGAAAAAACATGCACTTTGCTGTAGATGTTAGTAAAGAACTTCAAATAAATCATTGCCTAAAGAAAAACACAATAATGTTCAATTGAAACAATTGAACATTTATTTTCAGCTGAATGTCAGACTCCCTGGAAGCAAAGCATGAAAGAAAAGGTGTTGGTTTGGGGTTTCAGAGTATGATTGTGGTCCTTTCTTTTGCTTTGGACGGTAGCCGCTTTTACAACCATGTTTTTTGTTTTAAGTTTTGTACTTTACTATTATTCCTCACAATTATTTACCCTATATGTTGTAAATCTCTGTGTGTTCTTTCATAATTCACAGCCTTGCAACAAACAACCTCTGAAGCCTCGAAGGTTTGTTGGAGAGAATTAGAGAACAAACAGCATAATGAAGACAGAGGAATGCAGCAGATAGGTGAAGGGAAGAGGTACACGACTCTGGAGGAGCTGCAGAGATTCACAGGTGGAAATCCCAAAAAAAATAAAAAAAAAATAAAATGTATGCAACAATGCAAGACTGCAGCGGATATTCACATTTCTGCAAAACTGTGAGTCTAAGCACACAGCCAGCGCTGCGGAAAGAATGGCTTAGATCAGAGCAATTTCTTGTGCGGGAAATCATTGGAAATGTAGTGAAAAATGATTCGAGGGGGTTTAATACAAACGAACGCCACACTTTTCCTTTTCCTTCAGTTGTGGACAAATTAAATTAAGCATCATCATAAAGCATCAGTAAACCATATTGACGTTTGTGGACGTGACGTGACAAACGTGCATGAACACTTTCTGCTCTTCCTCTGATGACTCTCACCCACTCTCAGTCCTCAGCCATGTTTCATTAACGTGAACTGATTAATTATTTCACTTCCATTGTGTGTGTGTGTGTGTGTGTGTGTGTGTGTGTGTGTGTGTGTGTGTGTGCATGTGCATATGCTCAGCAAGTCATCAGTTATTTACCAACTAATGCATGGCCTCGAAGGGAGTCACTTTAACAGGTTAAGATTACGTAGATGGAAAATTAATTTACAAAGACCTTTACACTTGAAAAGACTAATTTGCAAAGAAGTAGTAACAAACAACCCAAGTGGAAGGACATCAGTACTTAAATGCTTTTTCATGTCTGTGTAATTTTTTTGCTTCAATTCAAATGAGTCAGAAAAATCTCTCTGAGGTAAATGAGGTAAGGGTGTCAGATAGTCAGTGAAGGTAACAAAAGTCTTTTTTTAAATAAAGGGAGTCCTTTTTTAATTAAAAAACAAGGGAAAGAAAGAAACGCAGCACTGAATGTGGCACAAAATGGGGCTGTTGGCAATTGGTCTCTTTCTAGTCAAGTCCTTTCATTATGCATTCAGTTCAGTTAATGGCTATCCCAGTCCTTTTGCTCCATGTACGCGTTCTGCGTGTACATGTAGCTAATTTCCTGTGATGTGACACTGAGGGGAAAATCGGTGCCCATTTGAAAGTCTATTTCCGCTGCGTACTGCTTATGTTTCAGCTCTGTTTCACACAGATTTTATTCGCTGTTTCTATCAGATCAAACCTTGACTAAAGCAAAAATATGTAATTGCCATCGCTCTTCAAGACACTTGGACAATTAAATAAATAAATAAATAAATAAATAAATAAATAAATAAATAAATAAATAAATAAATAAATAAAATAGTCTGAACTTGCTGTATTTTATTGGCACACATGAGGTTTTGCTGCCTATTTACAACAATCATTTTAGCTCTGATGTTTTTTTCTTTTTGTTGCTGTTGTGGGGGAGAAAACTGATGCGCACGGCTCCATCAGCTTTCTATAAATGCACTTATAGTTAAAACATTCACAGATGAAAATGGAAAGCGACTGACCACACATAATCAGCCCAGTAATATCAAAAGCACAAAAATACATAGATGATTGTGATGCGCTTTTACGCACGACCCGTGGACGACTTTTTTTTTTGACGCATAAATATTCACGAAGCAACGTAGCAAATTATTATTTTTTTTTAATAATTTAACGTAAAACATTCATGTAGCTCTGAATGGGGTCAGAACAATCTTATCATAAAAATGAGCGACAAGAAGCGTGCTGATGGGTTCCGATTTGCGCATCCAGTGCGCCTTGGTTACAGTTTGCCGAGCACATTACGCGCGTCATTAAGTCGCTCCCTGAGCCTTTAAAACCACTATGTCCTGCGGACCAGACCCCGCAGTTTGTCCCGAAACTCCTTCCTCATGAGGCAGTAAATGATCGGGTTCAGGCAGCTGTTGGTGTGCGCCAGGCACACGGTGAGCGGGAACACGTACGTGTGGACTATGTAATACGCACTGTCCCAGTTGGCAAAGTTCAGTTTGACCAGGACGCTCCACAGGGTGATGGCGTGGTTCGGCATCCAGCAGAAGAAGAACGACAGCATGACGATGGTGATGGACTTGGTCACCTGGGATTTCCGTTTGGGGTTGCTGGTTTTCATGCTGCGCTTGCGGATGATGCGCAGCAGCATGAAGTAGCTGACCGACACGATGGACATGGGCAGAACAAAACCCACAACTATTTTCTGGATGTGGTACACCGCCAGCCAGTACTGGCCGCCAGGAAACCTCAGCAGGCACAGTTTCTCTCCCGTCACGTTGGTGACCGTGGAGAAAATCGACGTCGGCGCGGTGGCCACGGTCGCCAGAGTCCAGATGACCGCGCACACCCACTTGGCGGAGCACGACCTCTGCACGGTTCGGTTCTTCAGAGCCGAGGCCAGCGACCAGTAGCGGGTCACGCTCATGGCGGTGAGGAAGAAGACGCTGGCGTACATGTTCATGACGGTGACCGACAGGATGATCTTGCACATCGCGTCTCCGAACGGCCAGCTGAAGTCCATGACGGTGTCCACGGCCCAGAAGGGCAGCGTGAGGACGAATTGCAGGTCCGTCACCGCCAAGTTGAGCACAAAGAAGTTGACCCTGGACTTCCTGCGCTCCTGTCTGACCCTGATGAAGAAGAGGACCAGCAGGTTGCCAACCAGCCCCGCGGCGCACACCACAGAGTAGACGAGGCAGATGAGGAATCTGAGGACCGGAGTTCCGTCAGCCGTCACGTCGATGTCCTCCAGGTTGCTGAAGAGGTCCGGCCTCAGTGACCTGTTCAGAAAGACGCTCTCATTGACTTCACTCATACTGTCAGCATCTGGGGGGAGGTTTAATTTAAACGCCTGAACGTGTATTCCCAAACGGAGCCTCAGCTTGGAGTGCTGCCATCCCAACTTCTCATCTCCTCTTGAAGACGCACAATCGTCTAATATGACAGCCTGCGGCTCCTGGTGACAGGACAGTTCCACCCACCGTCTCTCTCTCTCTCTCTCTCTGTGTGTTTTAGACCAGGGGTGGGGTTTGATGCTCACTGGTGAGCATCATGCAGGCTGGATCCATCAGGCTTGCGCGCAAACGAACGCAAATCATCTTCTCCAAAAGCATAAAAAAAACAAACAAAAAACATAAATAATTTCGTTTAAGTTTAATGGATAAATGATGATGACATTGTTAGATATATCGTACCTGAAGCCGCTAAGACGCACATTAGATGTGCAACTGAGTGAGTCCCCTTCAAAATAAGCTGAAAGTTCATCAACAACTCACTGCTGCCACCCAGTGGCCAAACGACAGCGAAAGATCATATACGTTCATCTCTAAAAATGCCAGACGTTTCCAGTCTCAGCTCCAAGTCCAGTTTCCAGTGCTTTACATTCAAAATACAAAATTCACTATTATATGACATCTGAAAAAAGAGCCTAAAAGGAAGAAAGGAAAAGGAAGAAGAAAGGAAGGAAGTTGGAAAGAAGAAATGACAACGTGAACAACAAGAAAAAACAGAAAGGAAGGAAGGACAGAAGCAATGAAACAAAAGGGAGAAAAATGTAAGGATGGGCATAAAGAAGGAAAGAGAGAAAGTAAGAAAAGAATGAAGGACAGACACAATGAAGGAAAACACCAGTAGAAAATCTGACCAAGTGTTTGGTAAGATTGAAATAAGACAAAATCAACTGAACAGCGACTTTTCAGCAAGAGATAAATTAGTTTATTTTTTTAAATGAAAAAAAAAGAAACTCTCCAGAAATAAATGGAAACACACAGATGTAGCAGAATGCATTTTATTACATCTACTTTTCTACATAAACAAGTAACATTCAATAAGTAAACAATTTCTTCCAATGCAGGTAATAAATATTTTTTTCACTTGGTATATTTGTACAAACTGACATGGGTCTACTGTACACCGTCTTCCTTCTTCCCTCCATGAAAAGCCTTTTTTATTTATTTTCTTTTTTTGTTAAAACAAGTTTTTCTTTCTCTCAGATTGGAGCTGTGAAACCTGTCAATAAGGCAGTGAGTGCAGATGTCGACTCGAGTCCGTCTAAGGAAATCATTTCTGCTGTGTGAGACTCTTTATTGGCCACAGTCGTCTTTTTTTCTTTGTTTTTTTTTTTGTTGTACAACTTTCGTTTTCTAAAAAATATATAAATTATTTTATTCCATTCGCTCTGAAGTGACGCACACACACAAAAACAAACAAACAAGCAAGCAAAAAAAAAAAAAAAAAAAAACCAAAAAAAAAAAAAAAAAAAAAAAAAAAAAAAAAAAAAAAAAAAAAAAAAAACCAAAAAAAAAAAAAAAAAAAAAAAAAAAACAGAAGCATACGAGCAGACATCGAACGGCTCATGTTCGGATCTGAACGTTCAGTTTTCAGGGTTTTCCCATACTGACAGAATATAAACACTTTTTTCCCTTTAAGTTAGGGTGAGGATGACCAAAGAGAGGAGCCACTTTCCCAGAGTTCAGTGTTGAAGAGTCCAAAAAAAAAAAAAAAAAAAAAAAAAAATAATAATAATAATAATAATAACAACATTGGAGGGAAACCAAGAGGAGATCCAACTTTGCCGTTTTTGGTAATCCCACACAGAACCTTGTGACGTTAGAGCACTTTAACAGAAACACATTCAACACAGTTTGCTCTGGCGCCCCCTGGCCGTCATGAAGTCAGCAGCATGACAAGCGTGAGGACAGAAGGTTCAATAAATTAAGCCGCAATCAAATGCTTTCAGTTACAGTGACTGTCTCGTCAAGTATCCCAACACAGGAGGGGAGGGGGGAGCAGCAGGAATCTGGTAACGCTTTATAATAAAGGCACATGCTGTCTATGAGTCTGAATGATCAGCTTAACAATTAATGATTAACCGACTCGTTGATGTAAGGAAACTCTCTGCAGCTCCATCCAGAAGCCCAGCAGGACTCTGCTTTGCTTCCCAGGCCAAATGAAGCTGGTTTTAAAATGTTTTATTTAAGAACATTATTATTTAGTTTCATAAAATTCTCAAATGGAGATTTTTTTTATTTATTTTATTCTATTGTACAAAGGATGTTGGAGGAGGACAGCCTGGCTGCCTCTCAGCGTTCAAAACAAAACTCGGATACAAACAGCTCTTTCGGCTGTAGTTAAAAAGCAGACGGGAGCTTTTCAGGCCCTCTCAATGTATTTTTCAGTATTGTTGAAGAGCGAACAGAGAAGCCCTGAACCGGTGCCAGATGGTAAAAATGAGGCAAACGAGCAGAGCTGGAGTGAATATGTACAAGGCGGATCTAAAAATGAGACGGTTGTTTACCGACGCGTGGCCTGCAGGCATGGGGGAGTCTCACACAATGGCAACCTGGAATAAAATCCCACAGTGTTCACTATGCTATTTTCTTAAAAAAAAAATATATATATATATATATATATATATATATATATAAAAAATAATCTAATCGCTTTCAAATAATGCTAAAAAACAAAACAAAAAAAAAATACAATTCTGATAAGTCGCACATCACCGTTTAAAGCTCAGAGTAAGACAATCGAATTTTGTCTGAACTGCTGATTTGAAAGATTTAGGAAAATAATAATAGAAAAAAATTCTCAGCTTTTTTGTATCATAAGTCACATGTTAGGAAACATTTGTAAATTAATTATCTGAATGACTTAAACATCAAATTGCACACTTAATAATTTACTAACAACACTTTTAAAAACTGTTTTGCGAGCACCCTGGCTGATTTTTTTTTCCAACTGATTGTGTGAAACATATTAAGCCATATGTTTATCTTAATGAAGGGTCAAAATAAAAAAGCTCAGTGCTGTGTTTATCTGTGGTGATGCTTTGTCTTTTTTTTTATGAGATGTTTTTTTTTCATGTTTACTGTTTATCAGTGAGCAGAAAAGTCAGTATTCTCTTGGTTTGTGGTAAATGTCCCAATTAAAAACTCATTTGGATAAACGACCAACTATTTTTTATGCTTCATTTATTGGAACCAGAGGTGGGTAGTAACTAGCTACATTTATTTTAAGTATCGGTTTTCTAGGGTTTATTTCGAAACAGATTGATTTGGAAAAGCTAAATCTTTCTTCTGCCTATAATCATTTGACTTATTTGGATATTTTTCTTTTTCGTCTATAAAATACCACAATGAGAACATTACTTTAGATTTCTGTTTGTCTGCTGCCATCATTTTTAAATATTACATCAGGTGTACATGAGTAACATTTTGATGGAATACTGTTTTACTCTCACATTACTCATTTCTTGGATGGCAAGGTTTTACTTTTAGTTGAGTAAAAAAAAAAAAATGCTAACATAGTGTTTCTCTTGGTTGGATAAAACGTTGTGTTACTCTACACACACCTGACTGTGACCAACTCAAAGAAAACAACTTTGTGCAGCTTAAAAACTCCCATCAGATGCCTGAAGACATAGTGGACTTCTAGAAAAACCTCGACAGGTCATCTGTAATCCCTCAGTCCTCCACCAGGGGGTGAAAGACAAAAAAATGGGGGTAAAAAGTTGCAGGTTTTCGAAGGAAAATAAAACATTACGTTGTAGAGATGTCAGAAATATGGCATAATTAATGACCCGTTTAGCCAAAACATAGAATAAACATTTGATAAATTTCATGATACTTTGAGAGTTTATGCAGAGAAAAATAACTGAGTTGTCTGTACTTTCCAACTGCAGCTTCAAAACAGCATTAACACAGAAAGAGATAGGTGGCGCTAGTTCCCACACCTGCTCCAAACAGACAGGCACTTCCTCTCTGCCCTTTTAAATTAAGAGGACATGAACCATAGTGGAAACCAGTCCCATGCCTACTAGCGTGTTTAATGTGTATCATCTTTATTCTTTATGTTATTATCTGCCAAACAGCTGAGGCTGATGGGAGAGTCTCGGAAAACTACCTGATATTTGGATTTGTCTGCTGGGTTTCTGGTTGTGCAGCCTATTTCCTTTTTCTTTTCTTTTTTCTCCACTCTTTTCTACATTGCTGCATTCCGGAACACACGACACAATTAATTCAAAAGAAACAATTAATCATGCATGAATTAATTAAGCATTCGTTTTGTGCCCATAAAAGGATTACCAGAGTCTGCTACCGAGTAAAATGCACGGTGGCATTTATTTCCCTAGAGAATCATCACAACACCTTTCTGAGTAGTCGAGCTGCTGCTAAATAATTATTCAACGCATATTAAATAAAATCTTTTCACAACCGGCTCCCACATGACAGTGACTCACACTCGCTTTCAGCCACTGAGCAAATTGTAAAGCAATAAAATAAAATAAAAATTCAATATGTAGACACAAAGGATACGAAATAAATAAAATACTGCACAACACAGGAAATACACTAAAAGAACTTGTTCCAGCAGATGATGGAGTCATACGGAGAGGCAGGAGTTGGTTCCCATGAGAAGAGCGGGGAATGAAGTTAGAAATGCCAAGTGGATGGAAGAGGGGAGGGGAGGAGGAGGGTCACCCCGTGTCAGATCCTCGTCCGGTTATCGAGGAATGGGACGGGGCGGCGGGAGCCGCTGTCAGAGCCCATTATCTCATGATCGCTGGGATAATTAGGCGCTGCCTGTCTCCGGCGCCTGGAAGCCGGACGTCAAAGAGACGCGCACAATGCCAGACGCTGGGAACATTTAAAGGATGACGGGGAAACACGGCTTCGATAACGACAAACGAAAGTGTGTGTTGTTTTAAAAAAAAAAAAAAAAGTACATTCACAAGCAAACCATGCGTGAAAAACAGCGTACGCGCTTTGCTCCAACACTCGAGGCTTTTTCTCCTGACAGGCCATGCATTTTTAAACCGTCTAATTCGGAGCGGAGCCCGCGTTGACCTGCTGAGGCCGCCGCCTTTCACTTCTCAAGACGTCAACCGCAAGCGCTCCGTCCCGACTCAACTCCTCCTTCCCCCCCCGATGGGTGCGGAAAAACGTCAGATGCAAAAAAAGTGACGATTTTAAGACATTACTTTAAGGTTCCTCAAACACGCGCACGTAATAAACAGGCACTGCTTTAAGCTTGGTCGCATGCTGTGGACGCCTGTGTCTTTAAAAGGCCCGGCGTCGCTACGACGGCTTCGTCGGAAAATCCTTTTATAACAGTCAGCCGCAAGAGACGCGAAGCAACACACTGAACCCGGAAAAACAGACTGAAAACACTGACACACACACACACACATTCAACAGCACTCAGATCACTTTCATATTAGTACCTACTTTTTGGCATTGTGCAAAAAAAAAAAAGAAAAGAAAAGAAAAAAAAATCTTCCAGCTAAAAGTCTAAATTGGCAAGTATAAATAGCTTCAACAGTTTAAATGCTGTATGCCGGCAGATTCTTTACAAGGAGTGAAAACAACCAACACTGAATCAAC